CAGGCCCTCTAGGGTGGGGCAAGGCTCTGCTTCATGATGGGTCAGCTCTGCTGCCCTTCACATTTGGCTGCTGCCACAGTTGTTGCTGTGTCTAGCCAGCAAGAAGCAGGAAAGAGGAATTCCAGGCATGCTTCTAAGGCACTGACCCCCAAGTCACATATTTCTTCTCACCTCCCATTGACCTGAACTTATTTATGTCACCACAGGTATCCGCAAGGGAGGCAGGGAAATGTAATTTGGGAAACCATGAGCTGGTACCACGGTGAAATAGCACATGGCCAGCTCAAAACTGCAAGGCACTGCTGGGAGGAGTTCTGTTATTAAAAGAAAAATGGAGAGAATAGATCCTGGGGAGACAGGAGTTTTATTTTAATGGTTTTCATTTTAATTTATTTTTCTTCTTTAGAGCAAAATAATATTCAAATAATATTCTTGTCTTTAAAATACATCTCAAAATGAATGATGTCAAGAAGTAAAGACTTCTTGGGCACATCTGTTGAATCAGTTCTCCAACACAAACCAAGAAGTGAAGGAACAGGAGCCAGAAAAATGTTCTAAATCAGATCTTTTCCAAGATAGCTACAATAAAATCATATATGAATACTAAGAAATATTTAATGTACACATTAACTTCTTTCTTGACCTTACAGTGAGACAATTATTAAACTTAGTTCTTACTTTTTCAGTCATTTGAAGTTGATTTGAAATTATTTGAAAAATCATAAGGATCATATTTATTCATTAGCTGTCAGTATCCTTGATTGAAATCCATGTGAAATCAAATCAGGCGCTAGTGTAAATACAGAGTGTAGAGTATCTCAAAGAGCATTATGTAAAAATCAAGATGAAAGCATTTTGCTTTTATCATTAACGAGGTTCTTCATCTAAGGAATGCTTTCCACTCAAATTAAATGAGCTTTTTCCTGGTGTGAACAGAAGAGGAAGAGTGGTCCCTATTGGCGCAGGACAAGGTTCGGGCTGTAGAACAGCTCTCTTCTAGGCCACCCCTGCTCTCTTTCAGTGTGCCTGGGGATATAAGGGACAGAAGCCCTGCCCAGATTAGCCTGTGTATATAAGGGAGTTGACTGGCTTCTAGGTGGAAAGGATACTGGCACAGCTTACAACATAGAAAAAGAGCTCTAAGAACCAAGCCCTGAGGCACTGACACCAGAGATTCCACATTGCCAGGATGTTTGTTTGTTTCAGCTTCTAGGTGCATATGTGCAGAGGGCTTCTAATAAAGTAAGTGTGGCCACTTTATCAAAAAGAAAAGAGCTTATTTACCCGAGAGTCCAAATAGCAATCCCAGGGAAGGACTCTGATTGGATCTGATTGGGTCACGTGGCCACACTGCAGCAGAGAAGAAGGTGGTAAGGAAAGCTGACTGGAAAAGTGGTTCTCCACTACACCTTTCCTTCCCAGGCTTGAGTGTTCTGAAAACCCCAAGCTGGGATGACCCAGGAACAAGTTCTGTGAGCAAGCTGGGGTAATGTCTTTCTGCATGTTTCTCTAACTCTTCCAAGTGGTGCTAGAGCTACACTTCAGCTTTTGTGGCTTCCTGATCCTCTCCCAAGCCTGAGGTATACAAGGAAGAGAAGTCCTGAATGTCCACTCCATGTTTTTATTTCTAAACTATATCTTTTAGCTCTTCTTCTACCTTGTCCATCATAACACTGTCCATGTCTTATGATTGCTGGTATAATTCTGACTTCATTCTTTTGTCTTTGTTTTTAAGACACTGACAGTGAAAAATGGAAGCCAGAGTGGTAGGATACCCTAAATTCAACTGACTTGCCATTGGGTCTCATATATTTGAAAAGGATCACCCATTTTTAGCAAATTAGAGGATTCTCAAAAGTTAATGGATTTTATGAAAGATGACATTAGATTTGCATTCAAATCTTGGTATAATTTTCTCCAACTTTATAGTGAGAATATCAGAAGAAAGTGAGAAGATATATCAATAAGCCTGGAATGTAGCATGGAAAATTTCTCCTTATTGATTTAGAGAAATATTTAAAATATAATCTAAGTAGAAAAGTGAGCTGTACACATTTATGTGTACATATGCAAATACATATATATTTAGAGAAAGAAACAGTAAAATACACCAAATTTTAAGTGGTATCTCTGCAAGATAGGATTATGGGTAGGTTGTGCTTTTTTTTCTTTGCTTTTGCCAGACTTTCTATACTGAACATGTATTATTTTTGTAACTGAAGGAAAAATTTATTTGGGCAACACACAAATCTTTGACCATTTAGTCTACTCATATTTTTGCAGCTGTGGGTAATATAGTGTGAAGAGAATGAAATAGGATCTTTGGGCTCCAGTTCAAGGCCACGAATTCCTTGACCTTAGATAAATCCTATCTTCCTTCTGGGCCTGGGTCCTACTTCTGTAGAATGAGGGATTAAAGCAGATGACTTCTCAGGACTGGGCAGGCTTCAGAGTCCTACAGTCTAAGTTAGAAGAGCACTGCAGTTTGATGTGCTGTAAAAGCTATTTGTTCATGTGGAGTGAGAGTAGAGTAGAGGAAGCAATATCATTGCTGAAGATGCATTTTTTAAGAGTCAAATGAAAATAAAAGAAAATAAAAGTGTTTATTCTGAAATCTTTTTTAGAGTTACTATGCTAGGTATTTTGCTATCTTTTAATATGTGAAATTTACATTTTGTGGCTGTTTACTTATTAATACTTACCTATAAGTGAATTACTATGAATATCTTATTAATCTGAATAATACCCACATTTTATTAAGAAAATTCTCACTGTGGGGCACCTGGGTGGCTCAGTTGGTTGGGTGTCCAACTTAGGCTCAGGTCATGATCTCACAGTTCATGAGTTCGAACCCCACATCGGACTCTGTGCTGACAGCTCGGAACTTGGAGCCTGCTTTGGATTCTGTGTCTCCCTTTCTCTCTACCCCTCCCCTACTCGTTTGCTCTCTCTCTTTCTCTCTCTATCTCAAAAATAAATTAACATTAAAATTTTTTTTTAATTCTCACTGAGTTTGTGAGAATTGGCCTCTATTGGTTGGCATGCAATAAGGAATTTACTGCAAAATTTACATTTGGCCCTGGTGTTGGTGAAGAAGGAAAGATCCAGGCAGCCAAGTGCTTCCAGGCACCCCTGGCTTCCTATTTTCTTTCAGTCAACATTGAGAGGTAATTCAAGAATGAATTCTTTATACATGTGGGAAAGAGAGCCAGTAGCCAGGCTTGAGAAAGAAGCCCGGTTTGGCAGTACCCATCAGCCCTTCCTGCAGCCAAAAGCCACCTCCTCACTGATGAGTGTCCCAATGCCAGAGAAAACGTGCCATGCTCAAATCCAGTACCTGAAGAGTAAATCTGTCAGATTCCAATGCTTGTATTAAATTCAATACTTTTGAGGTGCCTGGGTGGCTCAGTTGGTTAAGGGTCCAACTTCAGCTCAGGTCATGATCTTGCAGTTCATGGGTTCCAGAGCCTGGAGCCTGCTTCAGATTCTGTATTTCCCTCATTCACACTCTGTTTCTCTCTCTCAAAAATAAATAAATATTTAAAAAATAAAAAATAAATTTAATACTTCTAATGAATAACAATTTAAAAATATGGATTTAAGGTCTGATATTTGCATTTAATAAATACAAGGGGGCCAATGGAAATGTCACCACCACAGCTATCTCTGACTTGGAACCATGAAAGCTTCCTGTTGAGGCAGGACCCATAAACTTAAACTTGCCTAAGGACTCCAGTAACTCAGCCAAGAAAAAGAACTGCCAACATACGCCTTTCTATGCAATATGCTGGGAACTGCATGTTCCTATACAAACAATACCATAGACTGTGGTTGCATTCCACGGTAGCACATTAAATCTAATTTAGTAAACCTGTTTGTTTGCTTTATGTATTTGCCATAAAAGTCAGTAGAATATACTTCTGTATTTTATATATTACAGTTCAACTAACTTAACTATGGGTTAACAAACTTTTAAAAGACTAGCCTGGGCATGGGCATCCAGCTTCTATATTTTTATAGCTCTTGCATTTAAGAAAATGTAATCCTAATTACCATCTAGCATATAAATGAACTTCCAAGTAATAAACTCTGTGTAAATTGGGAAATTAATGTGCTTTCTTTCTTATCTTTTTAAATTTTATCTCTTTCTTTTTTGTTTATCCTTGTTCAGATTTTTGTACCTAAGACACATCTTCATATGTCATGTTACCAGTATTAAAGATGCCCTTCTCAGGAAATCTCATCAGGAGTCTGAAAACCTACCTGTTGAGTTGCTGCAATTTTCTTCTTGAGATTTTCCTTTATTGACTTAGATATCTTATTTTGACTTGTTACCTTGGCAAAGACCATGTCCTCTTTACTCTGAACTGCACCAAGGGCATTGTCAGCCCTCAGTAAATATTTCATAACAAAAACATCCACAGCTTAAGGTGGTCCAGTTGCTGAGCATTCCTACCGTGTCATGCAGAAGCGGTTTGAACCAGGACAGAGAGAGTGGTCTGCTTGTCTTAGGAAGATGCTCCAGGCATTCTTTCAATATAAGCATGATCAGAATTATTTGTGACTTCTGTGCAGCCTATTCCTGTGTGAAATGGGTATGAGGTGGCCACTGAAGCACTTTTCCCAACTAACACCAAGAAGAAAAATGGAACCTTCAGTTTATTTCTGCCCTACTTTGTTCCCTCAAAGTATGATCTCAGCAGGTTTCTCTCCCCCAGAAATATCACTGAGGGCCCAGATATGTACACAGCCAATCTGTCAGTGAGGAGAAGGATGTGCCAAGAAGCTACTAAAGGTTGTGAAATAGAGAGACAGCTCATTCTTACCTGGGAGGAGAAGGGACTATGAAGAGTGGCTCCCAGTCGGTCCTTAAAGATGAGCAGGATTTGGAAGAGAAGCAAGGATGGTACATTTCAGGCCGAGTACAGTATGTAGTAGATCAAAAGGACAGGAAAGCACTCATCTTTTAAATCCTGGTTGCCAATCTCTTATGTTTTCAGAGGAAAGCGAGCCGGCATACAAAAGGTGAAGACAGGACCAAAGTCACCAGCAGGAGCATCGGATTGGACACGGCCACATCACAACAGACAGACAGCAGAGACCCACCTGAGGAGTGCTTCCTCTCTCCTGCTGGAGAGTGTTGGACAAAGGAGAGGAGGCCGACACAGTACAGCAGCTTCTCCGGCTTCAGCAGCAATGACAGTGTCCTACGGGAATTAGACGACGGTCAGTTTGACCAGGAAGATGGAGTAACTCAGGTCACTTGTATGTGAGCAATGAAGTAAAGCAATGGAGGGCCCTGTAAATAATTATTAAAATAATTGTCAACTGACTTTATTGTATTACTTTATCTGCATTTATGTAATACTTTGAATTTTTCCAGACTCAGGCTTTCCTCTAATCTGCATAAACTTTGGCTCAACCTCCCAGACAAGGAAGAATAACCAACATATTTGTAAATTTAGAATCATGTTTACACTTCTCTCAACTAAAACATCTGTTTAAACAGATGTCTCATTAGGTTTTTAACCAATAATCTACTTCAGTTTCTCATGAATGTACAAGATGTACTTTTCATTTATTTTCCTGGTAAGAAGACTAAATATATTAGCCAGTATTTCACCTAATTAGAAAGTTCTCAGGAAGTCAAAATCTTACTTAAGCTGAAAAGCAGCCTCTCTCTCTTTAAATCCCTCTCTCTCTTTCACATACATGTAAAGGGCTTAATTAATGAAATACCTATTTCCTGAATATAACAATTAATCCAAACTTTGTCTTTAACTATTACATGTATGTACAAAGCAAGCCCCTGTTTGTGAAAATATTCTTCAAAATAAATCCTTTTGTATGTCTTTTTTTTGAGAGAGAGAGAGAGAGAGAGAGGGCGAGCGAGCGAGAGCACATGAGTCAGGCAGAGGGGCAGAGGGAGAGAGAAAAAAAACTTAAACAGGCTCCACACGTAGTGTGGAGCCCAACGTGGAACTCGATTCCAAGACCCTGGGCCAGAAGTTGGACATTCAACCAACTGACCTACCCTGTATGTCTTTGCTTTTGAAGAAAGGGTCACCATGTTTCCAACTCTATACTGATTCATTGAGCTTAAACTCTATTGCTTCTAATAGCCTAGAAATAGAGCAAAGCAGCATCCCTTAAAATTCAATATGAAAAGAACCCACAATCTCAACATTTAGAAACCTTGGTAGAAAGAAAGAATTTCTTATTTTAAATTGCAGATAATATGAAGAGTAGAAAGGTACTTAATAGCTCCATGTGTATGGAGACCCATCTGTTCCATTTCTGCTTTTCTTGCTCTGCTAGTAGGGATGGCTTTGCCTTGCCCATATTTTAACAGGTAAAGATTAAAATTCTACCTAATAAAGGATTTTCATTCATCTATGAAAGGCTTACTTCGAAATGTGGGAATCTTCAAGTGAATTACAACTGACTTTGCCATTGATAAATTTAGTGTATTATATATTTTTATTAGCATTGGTGTTGACATTATAAGATCATTTGAATAATAAAATGTCATTTGTTATTGGGCTATAGTTTTTTTTAACACAAATGCTCATTATACGTTTTATACATATGACAGGTACGTATTACATGTGTAACTAAAGTAGGACAATCTCCATGAATTGTTGATAAGCTTAACATGGAATTATCCCACTTCTACCATGCAGAAGCATTATCTTTGTAAGTATAAAGAAACTTAAGAAGATTTTGTTTTTTATTATTCCTTGGAAATGGCTGTCAACAATATTTGCAGAAATGTTTTTTTGTTTAATTTTCAGATGAACCTGAGTCCCATATTCAAAGGTTGGTAAGTTTTTAGTAGAAACAACCATTACTTCTGCAGCCCACAAAATGCCATGAGTTATGAAACAAGGAATGTTCTCAGAAAGGTCAGTTTTCCCAATGCCAGGGTCTACAAGAGGTAGAGACTCCTATGTCATTCTGTCAGTATATAGAGGGGATTTGAAGTATTAAACACAGAGATAGAAATTTATATTTCTAATTTAAAGGAAAACTCAAGAATATATCAATCACTTTTAAGTTTTTTAATTTTTTTTAAGCATCTTTTTTTTTTACAGTTTGCTTTTAATCTGTATTATAGTGAAATAATGACCAAGGTTTTAGAGCATTTAAAATATGCTTTGAGTCTGTTCTTGAAAAAACAGTAACAAAACTTGGACTCTATATGACTAAGGAGTTAAATGTGACCAATCATTATCTGTCAATGGTATATTTGGTTCTTTTCATAATACTATGTAATTCTAGGTGCCTGGCATATGAATTTTTAATACCTATAAGTTATAATGAAAAAAGATCAAGATCATAGATGTGGGTGTGAAATTCTGCCATTTTTCTTGGTGCAGCATCTCTCATCTTAGGTCTCAACAACCACTTGTTAGCCCCTTCCCATTTGGATTGAATCCCACCCTGTTATCTTTCATGGGCAATATTTAACGCCTATTCACCATAGAAATCACTATTGAGCTGATGAACAGCTCTATCAATGTCACAACAATTCCCTTCAGTATAAAATAAATGGAAAAGTAAACAGGCTTTCAAGAGTCTTCAGGCTCCCATAAAAGCAGTAGGCAGAGCTATAGTCAATCCAAATCACAACTATCTCCAAATCTTTTATCAGAAACAAGTGTTTACATATTTGAATATAAGTGTACCAGATGCATTTTCATTTCTTTCATTCTGGACGAACTGAGGACTGTCTCATTTTCCTAGCCTTGGCTCACTACCTTGATTCCTCGCTACCATTCCTGCTGGGCTGGAAGGAATATGGCTCTTTCAGCATCAGGCTAAAAAAGATTTCCTTCTCTCAACTCCTCAGGGCCTCAGAATATCCCTGTATGAAAAGGCTAATCAAGTGAGAACTCAAATGGAACAGGTGCTAACAATGGATAAAGTCTGTAACTAAACACATTAAATCAATATACTGGTGGATATGTAGGAAAACTAGCTAAATGCAAACTACCAGAGTTTAGAGCATATCCATTTAAATAATATTTGTTGTGCAGCTTATCATACCTTGAAAGTGAAATTTATTGTGCAATTACCTAAAGTTTATACAGCCAGTGCTGACAGATGATTAAGTTATCAGATGGTGTTTGATGGTGAAATATTAGGCGAAACTATAAAATAATGATCCTGTTTTCTGTTATGGTCATAAACTTTTTGTGTAGCCAATCCCAAAAATGGATTCCAAAAATGTTTTGGGCATTAAATATCATTGAACGTGTAAGTATCAAGGTGATTCTTTGTAGGCTTTTATCAACCAATATTCTTAATTGCAAGCAACAGAAATTGACCTTGGCTCATTTAGCATTAAAGGAGTTTAGTTCAAAAGGTATCTAGAATTGGCCTTCACCAAAATTTAAAACTTCTGTTCATTAAACTCACAGTTTAAGAAATGAAAAGGCAATAAATGTCCATCAAATGACAAATGGATCAAGAAGATGTAGTTTATCTATACAATGGAATACTACATGGCAATGAGAAAGAATGAAATCTGGCCATTTGTACCAATGTGGATGGAACTTGAGGGTGTTATGCTGAGTGAAATAAGTCAGGCAGAGAAAGACAGATACCATATGTTTTCACTTATAGGTGGATTAGGAGAAACTTAACAGGGGACCATGGGGGAGGAAAAGGGGAAAAATAGTTGGGGAGAGGGAGGGAGGCAAACCATGAGAGACTCTTGAATACTGAGAATAAACTAAGTGCTGATGGGTGTGGGGGAGCATTATATGGAAACCAACTTGACAATAAACTATGAAAGAAAAAAAAATTTTTTAATTAAAATTAAAAAAAAAGAAATGAAAAGGCAAGCTGCAGACTGGGAGAATATGTTTGCAAAGCACATACCTGACAAAAGATTCATATTAAGAATATATAAATGGCTCTAATAAATCAATACCAAAAAACCCCACCACCCAATTATAACTTGGCAAAAGGCTTAAACACTTAATAAAAGAAAATATAGAGACTTCTGCTTGCAGAAAGATGGAAGCAGATTTCTCCCATGAAGTATGTATAACTGAAAACCCTGAGCATTACTCATGAAACAAACATAAGATGACCAGTAGCAAGTTCCTTGATTTTATTTTTGCCTCACGTATCTCAGACTTGAGACCTGAAAAAGCCAGAAATCTAGAAATGACAACATTGCAAATCAAAAAACCCTAACAAAAGCCTACTAAGACAGCAAATATTTAGATAATAACCACTCTACCCCAGCCAAACACCACAGAAAAACCTGTGACCTCACTCACCCCCACTCCACTAGTACAGATGGAGTGGGAAGAATAGATTTCTACCCTCACAAGGCTATATGAAGAGGCCCCAATACATTGGCTAAGGTGATGTCGGAGAAAGAAGCAAGGGACCATAATTTCATCCGCATTGGCCCTGCAGCCGGCCCTCACCCCAAAGTGTTAGTGGAGGTCCTGTAAGAAGCTTAAACTTAACCCCCATCCTGTTGTAATGAGGCATCTCTCTCCTTCTCTACTGCTGTGACATCAGAGGAAGCTTAGTGAAAATTCAGGACTTTATTGCCCAGTGGTAATGAGGCCACTTCCACAGAGATGTCAGTGGAGACCCCAGAGAGAATTGGAACTCCCACTCCTTCCCAGCAGTGGAGAATAACACCCCTCTCATGTGTCAACAGAGGTTGAGTGGGGAACTTGGTCTTGTAGCTCCACTTAGCACTGAGTAGATGGTACCCCCAATTCCTACACTGGTGTAGTGTCAGAAAAAGCCAGCTAACATAGAAGGTATAAATATTTAAGATCTAGAATCTCATAATATGAAAAGACCTAGTTTCAATACAAATAATTAATAAAAACCAAGAACCAGAAAGATCCCAAATTAAATGAAAAAGTGCAAAAAAGATACCAACAATATAGTGACATCAGAATTAACATTAAAAGGTTTTGGTGCACCTATGGTGAAGATGCTTCAATAAACAATTATGAATGTGCTTAAAACAAATGGAAAAAATAGCATCAGCAAAAAAATAGAAGATATAAAGAACCAGGGGCGCCTGGGTGGCTTAGTCGGTTAAGCGTCCGACTTTCGCTTAGGTCATCATCTCGCGGTTCCTGGGTTCCAGCCCCGCGTCGGGCTCTGTGCTGACTGCCAGCTCGGAGCCTGGAGCCTGTTTCAGTCTGTGACTCCCTCTCTCTCTGACCCTCCCCTGCTCACGCTGTCTCTCTCTCTCTCCTAGAAATAAATAAAACACTAAAAAAAAAAAATTAAAAAAAAAAAAAGAAGATATAAAGAACCCAATGGAAATTTTAGAACTGAGAAATGCAGTACCAAGATAAAAACCTCAGCGGATGGGCTCAACAGCAGAATGAAGGGGACAAAAGAAAGAGTATCTATGAAAGAGCAATCGAAATGACCCAATCTAAACATCTGAGCAACAGAGAGAAAATAGACTTAAAAACAAACGAACAAAGCCCCTGAATGGGCTTTGGACTATAACAAAACAACAAAAGATGTAATATTCCTGTCATTAGTGTTCTGGGAGGAGGAGTGTAGAAAGGGTGAATGAAATTTCCAAATCTGGTCAGAGACATGTAAATTTACGGATTTAAGAAGGTGAAACTAATCTATAGTGATGAAAATTAGAGTAGGAGCTGCTTGTGGGGTTGGGGTTAGGGGGCGACTGTTGACTTAGTCTGTTCAGGCTGAGAATACCACGGACTGGGTGGCTTTTAAACAATAGAAAAATACGTCTCACCATTCTGAGGACTTGAAGTCCAAGATCAAGGAGCCAGCAGATTCAATGTCTGCTGAGAGCCTACTTCCTTGTTCATAGATGGCTGTCTTCTTGCCTGTAGCTTGAGAG